TTTAACCCAACACCAAAGTGAACAGTGAGGGCAGCGTTAAGCGCCCGGGGAGCAGTGTGTGGGGACGGTGCCATGCTCAGAGCACCTCAGCGGTAACTTGGCAGCTGGTGGACTCGGACCTGAAACCTTCTGGACCCAAGGTCCGCTTCCTTAACCACTAATCCACTACTGCCCAAATCGAAATTCATTTCATTTTTAGATAAACCTGTGTAAAAAACGACTTCGTTTACAACTTCACTGATGAACATATGAAAGTGACAATAGTTGGTTTGGTCTCATCTTTCAGTTCACGTTTTATCGCAGACACGGAAAAAAAAAAAGTGTGCACAGACACATGTGCAAGGCAGGAATTCACACCTGAAAGTTTCCATGAAGTAAAACAAAACCACAGTGTAACGTTCCTCTGTAAATCAAATGTACATACACACACATACATACATACATATATGTTCAGAAATATATATATATATATATAAATAAATACATATAGTATGTACATGCATAAAGAGAGAGAATATATATAACGTATGTGTATATATATTTATTAATATATGTATGTATGTATATATGTATTTTCACTAAGGAGTGGTTCTCAATGTCGGACGACTTCAAAGTGTCCGCCTGTGTTTTCAGCCTAAACTTTGAGGCTGATCCTGAGCTAGAACACTACACACAGACGTTGGTTGACGTTCGTCATGTAGCTCAGCCACAAGGTGCTAAATTTGGCATCAGGGAGGGAAGACAAAGTAAGAGGAAATGAGGTTTTGTTAATGGTGCAACATGAAAAAAAAAACGGTTGCACAACCTTGACAGCATGGCGAAACGGTGAGGTCTGGGCTTGAGAATCAAGTGTGCAGAGATGTGGTTTGCAGAGCAACGTGCAAAACTACAACTCGAAATTTAGTTCCTTTTAGATTGGATTTTAGTGACTACCGTTCATCTAGACAAGGGGTGCCCGATAAGTAGATCGGGATCTACCAGTAGATCTCAAAGGGAGTGCTGGTAGATCCTGAGCAATTGCATTTAAAGAAACAAAAGACAAATTTAAAATGATAGATTTAATTCTATTTTAAGATGCTAATCTAGCTAGGGCTAAAGTAAGGACCATAGAAGTATTGAGTCAGACGGTATTCTGCCATACAACTGCAGCCATGTAATCAAAATAGTAAATATATATTCATAGTTTTTAATGTAGGTAGATCACTTTAGCCCCGGTCGTTTGAAAAGTAGCTCCTGAGCCGAAAAAGTGTGGACACCCCTGATCTAGACAGTGACTTGTCGTGAGTTCCTCTCAGATTTGTTTACTAGTCAGACTGCTGAGATCACACGTTGAGATGGTATTTTAAGCGCGGGGTGTTTCTGTGAAATGAAAACTTTTTTTCCACAATGTGTGCAAAAAACAACATATGATACATACAACATATGAGTATAAGCTCCACTGGGGTCTGATGTCTACACACTGACATGTCCGGTACCTGACTTTCGTCTGCTGTACAGCAGGTTGTCCTCCATGCCCTCTTCTTTATTCAACCCATGACCTCTTTGTAGGCTGCCCCTCTTCACACCGGGCTCAGTCCAGTTCATCTACCAGAACAAAAAGCACAGTAACCACTGAACAACCACTTTTTTTGTTGCTAGGCTAACCGCAGAAATTGCGCTACAGAGTGAGGTATATATTTAAGTTTGTAAATAAGTTGTTCGTGGCACTTTTTGTGTCTAGTGATTGGTATCACTATTTGCGTGTCAAACTCAAGGCCTGCAGACTGAATGTGATCCTTTACATCAGGGGCTGTCAAACTCATTTCCACCAGGGGGCCACATCAGCAATACAGTTACCCTCGAAGGGCCGGTTGTAACTTGAAGACTGTATAGATCACAGGTCCCTAACCCCAGGTCCGCGGACCAGTACCAGTCCATAGGTCATTTAGTACCAGGTCGCAGTGGGACGCAATGAAAAAAATGTGAAATTTCTTTTTACTAATTTACTTCATTCATTCCAAGAAAATCCTTTCTAAATTTACTTCTGGCAGTATTTTAAAAATAATAAGTCATTCAGACTGATGCAAACAGAAAAGAGTCTAAAATATGTTTTATTTTGAAAATGTAATGATCCTTCGATGCTCAGTACCTTGTTACCGGTCTGTGGTAACGGCTGTTACTGGCTGACCAGTCCTTGGAACAAAAAAGGTTGGGGACAACTGGTATAGATGTAACTACTGCACAACAGACTAATACATATTTCTGCAATTGATTATTATTTGATTGATTATAAAAAACTTTTAATTATTTAGGTCAAACTCTTCTGCATGGACTTTAATAAAAAAAAATTAAGCTCCCACGGGCCACACAAAATGGCTTGGCGGGCTGCATTTGGCCCCCGGACCTCGAGTTTGACACCTATGCTCTACATCATTTTATGTGACACCATAGAGCTCATTGTGTCCTAAGGTTGTCTTAAAATAAATGTTTATTTTAAGAGTCTGTACTGATGGTTTCTGGAAGGAGTCATAGTTCAAACACCATAAACTCATGTGCAGTCAGTCGTCAAAAAGAGGAAGAGGAAAAATGACTCAGGGCTACGCTGAAATAATTACAGCCTGACTGACCTCTACAACGACTACGGGAGTCGGATTTGTTCCCCTTTTATTCTCATGTTGTCTACAGTCACGGCGTTTGTCAATATCGAAAACTAATTTCGAGTGCAACTCACACAGTATTTCTCTCGCTCTACGGCAGCGTTTCACATATCGTAGTGCCATTGTGCTGCCGTTGGCGCAAAACTAAACCGTTGTTGAGCAGTACAGCAGCTTAATTGAAATCTTTTCATTTTTATGTAAGCATGAAAACGGCTTTTTTAATATCAGAGCTGTGGCTTTTTTGGCTACAGTTCTTCCATTAACACCGGTATGATCCGTAGATCAACCCGGATTTATCGACAACGGCGATAGTGGGTCACACTGCTCTCTGCTGGGTGCCAGGCTAATTCCACTACTGGACATCGATCATTGTGAATGTGACGCGGGACATGAAACCGTCTTTAAACAAATAAAACTCATCAAGTTTCAATCCTGCACGGTAGGATGTTCGCTGTTGCAACATTACCTTCTTTGTCGTGTCAATGGTTAGTCATACACCTGATATAATCGTACAAAACCTTTGCGCGGAGGTCCCGTAACAACAGATGCTAGTATTTCTCCCCAAATTAATTATATTTTATAATGTAAATTTTAATATTATCTTACTATTATAATTCCTTATCTCGTATTATTGCATTTGGTTAATTGAAGGAGATTTTTTTGGGGTGGGAGAAACTGTGAAAATTGAGTGCAGTTCTTAATGTAGGTTAACTCGCATGAAGAAAAAAACTATGTTGAATTGTAACGGTCAAAACATTGAAGAGAAAAAAAACAACATTCTTTGCAACAATCATTCAGCATAAATTGGTGATTTGCTTTTAGGTATGTGTGTGTGTGTGAGTGTGTACCTACAGGAAAGGCGATCTCACACAGTTTGTGTATCCAGTCACCCACTTGGTTTCTGTCTGCAGCAAACACGTACATCTTCTCAGTGGTCTCCACCAGAAAAGACCCAGTATCTTTGGGACAGCCGTTAACATCCACCTCTGACACTCTGATACAGTTCGACAGTCGGATCACCTACGGTACGGGACGCATGAGGAACATTTTAGCCAAGCCCGGAGTGTTGTAGTACGTATTCTCAGCACACATTTTGGCCTGATGGACTTTAAAGTTTTGATAACAGAAAAAAAATTGTAAATAAACCTTGTAAAAGCACAAAAAAAACTCCTTTCAACCAAGAAAACCTTTCTTGTAGCTGATCCAGAATGAGTGTAGAGAGAGGGCCGATGCTACGCTACCTTTCTGTGTTCCTGCTGTTTGCGCGGACCTTTGTCCATCGCTCCTCCATCTTTACACTCGAAGAACTCAAGTCTGGAGATGGAACATGTGTTTTCTCGAAACAACACGCTCCACATGCGCTTCCACTTCTGCACACACAGATACAGCACAAACAATGCTGAAGTTAGCCCTGTTGTTAGCCGTATTTTTAGCGTGTGTCGTTGTTGCTAATCGTACCTTTCCAAACGTCTGCTGCTGCTGCAGGTAGAGGATCCCTTGTTTTCTGATGTCCTCTTCCATAATCGGTCCTAGTCTTCCTCCTGGTCTCCTCTTCTCTCCTCTGTTGATCGTTGACTATTACACCACTTTGTTTTCTGCTTCTTACAAACACCCTATTTTTATTTATTTTTTTATCCCTGTTGTATCAACTTTAACCTTTGTCCTTCATCGTTGTCCTCGTCCTTTTGTTTACAACTCCTAGGCTTGGAAGTGGCCTCGAACGTTTACCTCATGTTCTTAGTTGTCTTACTTTGTCGGCTTCTTCCACTCGATATGTCCAACCTAGTTCGAGTTTGTCTCATAGTCTTCGCTCTGTGTGTGTGTGTGTGTGTGTGTGTGTGGTATCAGCGTGATGCAGGCAGATGCTGTGTGTCATCTGTTTCCTGTCTATGGTACATTGTGTAATGCAGATGTGTTTGGCAACTTTTAGGGTATCATCGGACTGGTCCTACTTCAGTTTGTGATACAGTCAAACTATTTTTATTGTAAGTGTAATTGTCCTTGTTACATACATTTACCTACAGTAACATATCGTCTGTCACTATTTCGCATCCATGTTTCACTTTTTCCCCTCTTCTCAAGTTCACTCGAGACATTGTCATGAAATTATAGAGAAGTTTTGACGCCCTCTGGTGGTCGTGGTCTAAAGTGATAGTGCAGAGGGAAAAAAAACTAATTCCCATGAACTGCATGCTCTGTTTTAATAACGTAGCATAAATTACTGTCCGCGTCAACCAGGGGCACTGCCAGGAATTTTGGGCCCCATTTTAGGATGTGACAGTGTAACAGACGTAGGAACATGACTATATTTGTACATACCATGCAGGATTCACTATTTGATGCAAGACTGATCACCCCCAAGGAAACTGGCAACAACCAATGTTACTGTTTATTCATGTTGATCCAACATTTACCGTTTTATTATTAGTTCACATTGTTTGGTTCTGATTTAGAATTACATCAACATCAGTTTCCTTGCTTCACTCCTGTGTCGTCTCTCTTGATGTTCGGCAGGGTGCTGTATATCTGTGTCCAATACTTGACATAGTCTGACCTCAGGTCGTAGCTGAAAACATGAGATAGGCGTGAGAAATATGTAACTGTAACTGTGTGTTAGCTTAGCCTAAACAGTATAGAGCAGAGGTGGGGCCAAGTCACAACTAAGTCTCAAGTCTTTGCACTCAAGTCCAAGTCAAGTCCCAAGTCAAGACAGGCAAAGTCCGAGTCAAGTCCAAGTCAAGACCGAAAAGTATCAAGTCAAGTCCCAAGTCTTGCCGTTTCTGTTTCGAGTCCTTTTAAAGAAAATAATAATATATTTACACAGATCACTGCCGCTCGTTTTTTGTTGACCACCTCGTAGTTTTTAAATCCGAACAACACCATCTTTGGTATAATTTTCTCTCACCCGCGCATTGTTTGACGGCTTTTCCTCATCGGTTGTCCCGCAATTTGATTGACTCGATGCTATTGCGTCAAAACGATGTGGGTCTAATTTGATTGGATGTTGTGCCGACAGCACGTACGCGATGAGAGATACAGAGCGCTCCTTAATAACTTACTTTACAATCTTCGGGTTTGGGAGAAAGTACCAAGTCCGAGTGAAGTCACGAGTCAGTGACTTTAAAGTCCAAGTGGAGTTGCAAGTCTCATTGCATTTTGTCAAGTGGAGTCTAAAGTCGTCAAATTGATGACTCGGGTCTGAGTCGAGTCCACACCTCTGGTATAGAGTGACTGAAAGGAGTAGCGTGCATCAATATGTTGGGGAGATCGCACAGAAACAAAAGAAAGCATTGTTACCTCACAGATGACTTGCCCATGCTGTGGTCAATGATAAGGTAGGGATGGGTGTATTTGTTGAAAGCTGGCCAAGTGGAAGGGACTCTGCTCCCACCCTTAGTGGGATCACTGAACAGAGGGAGTAAAAGCAAGAGATGAGAGTTCAAAGTACTGCACAAGTTCCAACCCAACCAGGGCTGTAAGGACTATCATTTCCGACCAATTTGCCAAAATCCAGCTCAGTTTAGCTGAGACCACTTTTAGGGGTTTTGAATATATATATAAAGGTGAAATATTATTCTACCACTGAATGAGACACAATCATAGTTCGTAATGCTAGCGGATTACCCCGTCTTGGCAAAGTTGGTCCAATAAGACATCATGTAGCCCGCCAAGTCCCGGTGTCGTGGGAAGTAGATCAGCGGTAGAGAGAAGGGTTTTCCAAACAGATATTGCAGTTCCTCGGCGTGCTCTGCACCCACCCAGCGAGGGAATCCTGGGATACGTGTTTTCATGTTGAAAAGGTAGGAGTAGGTACTAGTGACGCTGAGACGTGAATGAAAGTCAAACACGAAATGTTGATTACTGGTAGGTATTTTTCAGTCATTTCAGTTATACCGCCCCACACATGTTTACGTTTGCGAAAAAAGAAACCGAGAGGTTACAAAAGACTTATCATGAATAGAACCTCTTCACATGTCTTTGGTAATCAGGACTTACTTGGAATTGTTGGCATGCAACTGAAGCGCAATCTGAGTTGGGACCAAGAAGAGGAAGTCGGTCTCAATGTCAGACACTGTTTTTTTGACCAGTGCCTGGTCTGGAAGGGATCCCCAGAGAGAGGAGTAGGTATTGAATGCTGACTCGGCAGCAGCATTACCCTTCACTTTGGTCAGACCGGTCAGGAGACCCTTCACCTGTTCGCTGAGGACCAGAAGGTAAGGCATGAGAGAAGCACCATACAGTTTCATGGTGTAAACTATCACTAGAAAAACTTAATAAAGTTGTGTTGCTGCTTCAAAACTCCAAGTCAAACTTTGTGGGTACACCAACAACAGATTAGTCTGGCCTCCTGATTGGTAAACACAATCTATTTAACACAATTATCCTGTTATTGTAAGGCACTAACATCTTGGTTTATGTTTATGCTTGACACAAACTCAACTCAAACAGTGGTAGATTGGGTTGTGTTCATGCCTGACAGCAAAGTTCGAACCCCATCGGTACCTGACGTTCTTTGGGGATTGGTGTTGGCATGTTTTTCCACAGTCCGACAACATGCAGTTACTGTACATACTCTCTAAAATGAGCATATGTTTCTCTACATGTGGCCCTGCGACTGACTAGTGAACCGTCCAGGGTGACGTCAAAGCTACATCCAACGCTGCTTGTGCTACCTAATGGAGTGACGAATGTGAAGTTGCTGTTCTCACACAGTAGTGTTAGCATTTCTTTTGTTGATAGAAGGTACATCTACACCAGCAAAAATGTGTCCGTCCATGCTGTTGACTCCGGCCATGTAATCAAACTGGGCAGCGTTGTGGAAGAGACGATTGGGCTCGTCTGGGATGAAATCACCATCGACCACTGGAGACAGTTCCAGAAGGTCCATGACTACACCTGTGGAGAGGACACTTTAAAACTAAAAAAAAAAGGCCAAGACAACAACACTAAACACAACAGTATCTGTGTCTCTCCCTGGTGGTCTGACCGTTTTTCAGGAGGAGAAGGAGCACATCAATTTTTCCCGCCAAGGTGAGCCCAACTGGGTCGGTCATCTTCAGACAGGTTACCATCAAGTCAATGTCACTCCTCAAACAACCAACCTTACGGGCGATCTTCAGGGACATAAAGATGTCCATACATCATGTCGAGTACAAACCGTAGAAGTACCAGTTACCATCCAGTGTTAGTGCATTTGTCACCTTCTTAGTGAGGGCCATGGGGTTCTTCTGCAGAGCCCAGGGACTGAGGGCCACACCAGACTGTGTGATTGCTCTTCTGAATAAACCTTTATTGTAGGGGGACAGCATCTAAGGACAGTGGGAGAGCAAAAAGGGGGTTGGGGGGTCAGTTTTACGTATTACGTATATTCACGCCCACATTTTCATCCACTTTCATCAACTTATCCGTTACCGGGTCACGAGGTAGCAGCAGTCTCTATGACCACCACCCAAGTCACACTGCACCGTACCAGCCCCCGTGAACCTTCCTGCGGGTGGTGAGTCTACCGGAAGGTACCAATCGCCCTAACCGGGATGTGATCTTGCCCATGAGGTGAACCCTGGGGTTCCATACCAATGACAGAGACATTGACCTCTGGGCCAAAGCGCCACTGAAATTAGGAACCTTTTGTTTTTCTAATTCTCACTGACCCCTTACCTGGTAGCTAACACTGGCAGCACCCGCTGATTGACCAAAAATGGTGATGTTCATGGGGTGTCCTCCAAATCCTTCAATGTTTCTGCGAATCCAAGCAATGGCAGCATGCTGATCCCACAAACCATAGTTACCTGAGATTGACAGTTAGGTTAGAAGTTATTTTTCTAATGTTGTCATTTCCGTAAGTGAAAAGTTGGTAGCTCAGATTTCCTGAAAGTGTCAATGAAAAAGAATCAATTAATCTAACCTCAGCAACAGGAGTTCCGCACCTATTTTGTCTCAAACATTTATGCCGAATTTAAATTAAGAACTTAACCACATAGATCATATGTGTCAAACTCAAGGCCCAGGGGCCAAATGCGGCCAACCGAGCCGATTTGTGTGGCCCGCGGGAGCTTAAAAGCATTTAACTTGAGAAATTAAAAGTTTTTTATTACACAGCAATGAACGAGATTCTGAATGATCATAGTCTGAATGACCCATTATCTAAAAACACTGCCAGATTATCTTTAAATAAAGAAAGTAAATGGATATGAGTAGATTTTCTTTGAATGAAGTAAATTGGTAAAAATTAGGTACATTTTTTCACTGTGTCCCACTGTGGCCCGGTACCAAATGACCTATGGACTGGTACTGGTCCGTGAACCGGGGGTTGGGGGGTCCCATTTACATTTACCCCTGACATAGATCATATTGGATCAGATGTTTAAACCAAGTGATTTTGTTTTGTTTTTGAACTGTTGCTGGTGCAGACAGACCTGGCAGACGTACGTCTCCGGTACTGAGGAAACCCAATGTACCAACTCTGTAGTTCACGGTGACAACAATGACTCCGCCTCTATCTGCCATTTCTTTCCCGTCATAGAGTGAGTTTCCAAGGAACTCCACATCGTTGGATGCTCCCAACAAGAAGGCACCACCAAACAAGTACACCATTACTGGAAGACCTTTGGATACTGGACGTAAGGGAAGAGAGTCACACATTTCAAAGGAAGTTCAAGTTCAAGTCTAAACACACTCTGACTCAGAGCTTACTCGCTTTCATTTCCACGTGCCTAAAGCAAACATGTGATTGAACTATCATCACAGCAGTAACATCAGTACTGGAGTCTCCGTGCGTGAGTGTTTTGCCTACGTGTTGTTCCATGCGGCACAAAGATGTTTAGATAGAGACAGTCTTCACTTCCGTGGGTTTTGCCCTGTAGCAGCGTCACCTGCAGGCAACGATCCCGGTATTGGGTGGCCTTTAGAACGCCTGGAGACAACAAAGACAGCACCTTTGAATCTGTCCTGTATGTTAGCAATAATAGCAACAGTTAGCAACAGTACCGCTCCAGCCAGGATGAGGTTCGGGTTTCTCCCACTTCCCAGGAACATTGGCGAAGGGGATTCCTTTGAAGACATCTACACTTCTGAAGAGACCCATGAAGTAGCTTTTCCCCTCCACTTGCCCCAACTCTGTTTGGACCACACCCAGCTAAAACAAACAAACCCAACATTAAGGATATTGATACATAGCTATTACTGTTTTTTTAAGGAAAACATCACTGTGTTTACTTCTCGTTAAGGAAATCGGTCATTTTTCCACGGTGTTTCCCAACAAACCACTGTATGAGTCGCTGCCACCAAGTGACTGGAGGCTCATTATAATTCAAGCATTACAGCAGTGGTATGTTTATGTCCCGCATGCCATGCCCCTCCAAGCACCTCTACGCGCCCCCCAAGCGGGGCCCGCCCCGATATTTGAGAATAACTGCATTATGTCTGACATGCAAATGGAGGAAAATTACAGCAGTTGCATTTTGTTTAGTCATTTTGAGCACGCCTGCTTTGGAAACAGAGAGCAGAGAGTCCTGGGTTCGATTCCCAGCCAGGAGGCAGCAGATCTGCTGTTAGCACAAGAACTTTCCAAATCAATAAAGGTCAAATTTACTTTATTGATTTTAAGGCTCCAACTCGTGATAAACTCTCATGTTTATCTAAAGTCCCTCAGCCGTGACTGCTGTGTAAACTTTTTCTTTCACACGGGTCACACCTTAGAGAACGAAACAGCTGTTGTTTCGACATCAGCCACAACCCCACAAGAGTTATGACCCATTTTCCGCTTAACTCAACGTAAATGCAGAGGTTTGGAATATTTTGTCTGTAAGGTCACCTTTTTATTATAAATTAAGCAGGTTTGTAATAAAAAAAAATCAGAATAATTAAAAGATTGGACTATTCCTTTAACTCATAAGTGTAATATATCATAGTAATTGTTATTGTTATTGGCTCTCTTGTAAGGTGTATTATATTGTCGAACAGGGGGCAGTGGTGGCTTGGCGGTTAAGGAAGTGGACCGCTTGGGTCTGGAAGGTTTCAAGTTCACCAGCTGCCCCCTGCTGACTTTGGTGATGGGTTAAAAAGCAGAGGGCTACAATGACAAATAATTCACTATTTTTTTTTTTTTTTTTAAATACTCCTATAAGGAGAAAACGATAATTAAATTCACACACCTTTGCAGCTGAGGCCAAGTTCAGTCCAATGCCCAAGACAACAACCAGCAGCAGCAGCATTGTCCTGTCTGTCACCTACTGTCACCTGCTGCTGCTGCTTCTTGCTTATATGCTATGGTAATTCTTATCAAGGATTTTCCTCTGAGAAGACCAGCAGCTGCCACACACATACACACAAACACACACATACATTCAGAATACATGTATGTCAATGAAATGAACCTTTCTAAAGCCTTTTTCATTCATCCTGTTCTCATTTATCTGGTTCAATTATATAAAATATAATATATAAAAAATATAAAAGTTGATTAAAAAATTGTGTGAGTTTTATTTTAGGGGGGAGGAAATGTATGTGAAACTTTTCCTAAAACCTGAGAAAACCTGGATACTGGCCTTTTATGAACGCGCCCTATTGTTGATTGACAGCTCAGTGGTGTCAGGTTACAGCAGGGGGCGGGGTTTATCGTTGCTCAACATGGCTGCGCCCTGCTCAGATCAACAGGTCTAAAGGTAACTGGCGTTTTCGAGCGTTTTTGACGTTATTTTCGATTCGCCGGTCGATTGCATCCGCACCGACAGCAAAGAATATGTAGACACGGAGGAAAACGGTTGTCAAATGTACTGTCACTCACTGCAGCCTCTTGGCTCCTTAGATGAGCACCGAGCCGTTAGCATGTTAGCTTAGCGGAGAGTTAGTGGTAACTTTCAACTTGTTTACAGCCGACACGAAAAAGTTAGGTGGGGCGCTTTAAACATCTTCGTGTACCGAGTGGAGAATGACAAAAGGTTCGTTGCATAACATAAAGTTTTTCGTTGACGTCGAAGCAAAGGCACTTGACAACAGTGACGTCACTCAGACGTCGGTTGGTTGTTTTTGAGTGAGGATGGCACCTGAGAAGATTTAGTCCAGATCGATAGACAGACGGACTGACAGATAAATGGATAAAAAAAATAACTTTCTTAATCCCTCGGGAGTTTTTTTGGGACGGTAAGGACACAGAGACAATTTTGCCGTTTTAACTAGTTGTATTTGGAAGGTTGCACAGAGTTGTAGGTTACTGTCAAACCATGTCCACTTTCGTGTATTGTTCCTTGTTTGGATGAATTGTCTTTTTTTTTATTAACCCTTGTGTGGTGTTCGGGTCTGTGGGACCCGTTTTCACTTTTTAATAAAAGAAAAATGATATAATTATTTATTTTTCAAACTGAGACTCACTGGCTTTGGCTCATTTTCTGTGAAGAACATATATCAGAATACATATTTAATGACCACACACCATACACCCCCCCTACACATTTCTATTACATATAAGATGTCCGGGTCCACTGGACCAGGGGCCAGTGTGTGCTGTGTACCACCCACACACGCACATGCACCAACACACGCACACACACACTCACACACACACACACACACAAACACAGCAGGCCTAGACAGGAGGAGGACAGAGTGTAGGTACACAGAACATACCTATAACATATAAATGTGACCTAACAAAGGTAAAGGGCAAATATTAACCATATATATTGTTTATACTGCTTGTTATTGGGATAAGGTAAACATCTGTTCAGTATTTTAACATAAAAGTGTTGATTGTGAGGCATCAAAAGCCACAAAATGCAACGGGTCCATCAGACCCACAAACACTGGCTGAGTAACAACAATATGAACATTACACAAGGGTTAAAAGTGATTTTTAATTTACTGTATTGATGTGTTTTGTTGATGAAAGTAGTTATCACATCACATTGTATTTGTAATAATTAAAGAATATGCGATGTATGTATACAATATGTCTGTATACAATAAATTATAATATAAATAATAATAAATATAATACAATTTTTAATTACAAGCTGTCCCATCATAAGAAGAAACTAAACATTGTAAAATGCCGTGCCGTTTTCTATGCAAATTAGTTTTACCGCTTTTTTTAAATGGCCGACATAGGTAAAGATTGTTAGAATTCTAGCTAGCGTGTCATTATTCCCAGCATATACTGTTTCCCTCCCCCAGTATTTTTTTTTTTTTTTCATTCAAAAACATTTTTTTTTTTTAAATAAACACTTTTCTTCCGCCCTACTCAGCTGTGAAGAATGTCTAAGGAGCAGGTGAGTATCAGTGACCTCATGCACTCATTGGATAGCTCAGAGCTACAGGAGGCAGAACAAGTGAGGGCCACAGTCAACCAACAGTTGAGCTCAGGTGAGAACCGCGTCAACGCATGTGCGGCCACACTCGGCTTTATCTCAGCTGTATCACCTAAAGACCTGCTGTAGTACACCCGTCTGTTGTTGTTGTTGTGGTGTTGTTGTTTCTTCCCGTGTCATTTTTCAACTTTTTTTTTCTCTCCACATGTCTCCACTTGTCTCTTGTCGTCTGACCTATGACCTGTAGTTTTGTTTCCTCTCCAGACAAGGGCGGCGCCGTCCTCTCTGCCGTGGTGGACTATTACCTGGAGTCCTCGTCATCTCAGGCCATCCTCCTCTTGTCCTCCATCAGGGAGACTCATCACAAGGTTAGCGTCCTCTCACCCAGTTTCACCCTCGCCTTGAACCCTTTTTTTTTTTTTTTTTAAACCTGTCTTTTGAAAACACGTCGCCCTCAGGCCCTCTTGGAGAAACTGAACGAGTCTCTGAACAGACCGTTGACCCGATTGGTTGCCCTAACACTGCTTGGTCATCTGATCAGGAAGCAGCCTCCATGGGTTCATCACATCAGCCGCTCGGCCTTGCTCCCATCTCTGCTGCGCTGTCTCAAGGTAGGACTGAAGAATTATGTAAATGTATGTAGCACCATGACCACGTTAATCTAATTATACCATCTGGCAAAATATTATGATTTAATTGGTTTCCAACGTTTTAAAATAACATAAAACCAAACGCATACAAAAACAAGACAATATCCTTGTTGGCTTTCAATTGTGAAGCATGAATGTTAAAATAAATATTAAATTAAAAAAAATATAATTTTATTTGAATTAATATGAAAACAGTTATATATTATATATATTTTTAAAAATATATATATGTTGTTATGTTTGCATATAGGCAAGAATTGGGCAAAACAGGGGCAACAATATATTGCAATATATATGATATATTGCTATATATTATATATCGCAATATACGATATATTGTGATACACTGTGATATTATAGGCATGATTTTTTTTTTTTTTTTTTTACAATTTAATTGTAGAATATTTTCTTACACCCCTATATGTTATCAGTACTCGTAACAAAATAATTTGTCTGTCCTCCTGCACTGCTGTCGTGTTTCCTCAGACTGACAGTGATGTGGTGGTCCTCATTACTGCCGTCCTGGTCCTCGTCACTCTGTTACCCATGATCCCTCAGGCCGGAAAGCAGCACATCTACGATTTCTTCGATGTGTTTGGACGACTGGCGTCCTGGAGCTACAGAAACCCCGGTAGACACTGCGACACCGGGTGTTGATGTATTTCTGCTTTCGTTGGTGCTGTGCACTTGTGACCTAATGTATGGGGTGTGGCCCATTTTTCAGCATTACACTAATGAGACCAGCGCACGTCACGAAATTGTGAAATTGAAATTTTGAAATAAGAAATGTATTTCTGGGAACTTCTGTATTTCTACAACTGTAAATTTGACCGGTCTTTTTGTGAACGACACTGAACCCATCTTAATGTTCTGTTGCAGCTCAGTCACCTGGGGTTCACCTGGTCCACCTTCATGCTGGTGTCTACTCTCTGTTTCACCGTCTCTACGGCATGTTTCCGTGTAACTTCATCTCCTACCTTAGACTCCACTATAGCATGAAGGAGAACCTGGACACCTTCCAGGAGGTCGTCAAGGTCAGTAGAGACTACCAGGGTCGGTTCATGATATTATGAATTTATTACTGATATTAAGCGAGTTGGAACTAGTACTGCTAACTGGTACTGTAGCGCTTCAAAATAAAACTGGAATTTTAACGGTTAAAGCAGTGGTTCTCAAACTTTTTATACTCCGTACCACCTGAGAAAACATGGAAGTGTCATGTAAGTACCACCATGATGACCAGCATTAGCATATAGCAGCATTGGCCTTCCCTGTTAGCTTCCACCACACAGGAGATAAATGTTTATAAAGATGTTTATGTTTAAATGTTATATTTTTGTATTGTGCATGGTATATTTCAGATTTATTCAGTTGAAAATGTAAATTCGAAAATATGAATTGTACCACTAGAGAGCGTTCTACCACAGTTTGAGAACCACTAGGTTAAAGGAAATGGAGGCAAATTCCTACACGAGTAACTCGACATCCAGTACCAGTGAGGAGTTTCTCCTCAAGTGTTTATTGTCGCTCGTATCTATTGCAAAACAAACGAAATTACGAAAATTAAAAAAACGAATGTTCCCTCGAGGATTTTATTACGTTACTTCTGTTTGCTTTCTTAAAAAAAAGAAAAAAAGAAAAGAAATGTAAACAATATGGTTCTCTCCTGCCACAGCAGCTGCTCGGTGCTGTTTACTCTGCTGCACAAAAATAGCATCTGTGACGAGCAGCTGCTCCTTTTCTCAGAAACCAGGATCGGGAATACTCCGAATACAGCGCTTCATTTAGAGCAAGACGGTGGTCACACGGAAACCGAAAACTGAATGATCTGTTCTGACTGTTAAGCACATTCTGACGGAGACTTTAATAACCCTAAATGTATCCAATTTTTTCCTGCAACCACTTTGAAACCACTTTGCTTTTCTGTAATAAGTTCAACATGTTCACCTGTTCTTGGTCTGTGTGGCTAAACTGTGGCGCAAATAAATGCTATCAGTTCGTGTCCGGTTCTGAAGACGATGTATTTGTTGAGTACATTTTTGTCAGATTGTGTCTCTGTCTTCCAGCCCATGTTGGAACACGTCAGAGTTCATCCTGAGTTGGTCACGGGGACGCAGGACCAGGAGCTGGAGCCGTCCAGGTAACCACCAGTCCACACACACTGTGGTGCTTCTGATAGGTTCATCGTACTACCATTAAGGCAGGGGTGTCAAATATACAGCCCGCGGGCTAAAAACTAGCTCGCTTGGTGAAATTTGAAAATGAAAAAAAATACAGAAACACTTCATGTTCAGGAAATGTTTTGTAAAATTACATTTCATTTAATATGAAGATGTATATATGAATGTACGTTTTGCATGAAAACAAAGGGGGAAAAAGACTTTATAACTTTTTGTTATTTATGTAATTATGCTATAATTGTACCAGCCCGGACCACTTGACATTTATTTTATTTATTTTTTTAGTTTATTTACATATTTTTATTGTGTGAAAAAATCACAAAAAAAAAGCGCTCCAAATTGCCATCACATTTTTCATCTTGTGCATCCCCTTGTGGCAGCTCGCACATCTCGAGCGAAGTATGCACCACACTTTGGGAATCCCTGCATTACACAAAATATATATATATATATATATGTGTGTATATATATGTATGTATATATATATATGTATGTATATATATGTATGTATATATATATGTATGTATATATATGTATGTATATATATATGTATGTATATATATGTATGTACTGTATGTGTGTGTATGTATATGTACATATATGTGTGTATGTATATATACTTATATGTATGTATGTATATATACGTATATGTATATGTATTTATATGTATGTATGTATATGTGTATATGTATGTATGTATATATACATATATGTATATATGTATGCATATATGTATGTGTATGTATATACATATACGTATGTGTATATGTATACGTATTTATATATATGTGTGTATATGTATATATATGTGTGTATATGTATATATGTGATTAGTTAATAGTCTGTTGGAAGTGAAGTCCACACCACATTCAAAAAAGTACTGTTTAATAATGTAAAAAAAAAAAAGATGAGTCTACTTCTCCTGCAGGTGGCGATGTTACGAAGTCCATGACATTGTGATCGAGTGCTCCAGAGTGTCCCTGGATCCTCTGGAGTCGTCCTGTGAAGAGGACATTTACACCTCCCTGAGAGAACCCACCTCCACCTCCCTGTGCTCCTCACCCCCACTCAGACCTACACAACTCTCCTCCCCGCTCCCTGCCCTGGACCTTACCTCCAGTCCTCTCATCACAGAGAGTGTTACCAGTGCTTGTGAGTGGACAGCAAGTGTTTTTTTTTTAATTATTATTTTAGCTCACAATTTAAATTTTACTACTTCTTCGAAATGTATTATTTCTGTTCTAACTTTACGGCTGATCAAACGTTTTCATTTTCTGTGTTTTTACAGTCAGTTTGTCTTCTTTGGAAAAGGGAAATCAGACTCCGCCTTCTTTGATCTTTGACACCTGTGTACAGGTAAATGTCTTTTGTTCGGCTCCTCCCAGTCACCTCCCATGATGCCCTGCAGCCAGGGAACGCCGTTGAACCTACAAACCCTTGTCTGTGATTGGTTCTGATCAGACCCAAACCAATTAACTGACAGTAAATGTTTTTGTGCTCAGGCTGATGATGTCACGTGGAGCCCCTCTCTTTACTGCGGCCTGTCCACACCCCCACTCGAGTCTTCCGCATCAGGCTCCACCCACCCTCTGAGCAGGAGCACCTCCATCTCAGGTGAGACGACGATGATTATAATATATAATAATAATAATATAATATAATTATAATTATCACTGTGTTCACACACACACACACACGCTCTCTCTTTGACACCAGGTGTAAAATCTCCCTCACTGGCCTCTGTCCCTCCAACGCCACCTAGTGAAGGGAACCAAGATGGACGCCTGGCTCCAGACAACAACAATCAGGTGAAATATTGTTGTTGTTTTAAGTGTTGCATAATAAAGGTTTTAAAACAGTGAAAGGCGCATACATATACCAGCAAAATGTAGTACCAAGTACTTGTACCAGGGACCAGAAGTCAATCACTAACGGCTTCCTCTCCCTCGGTGTCCGTCAAGGTGAAGCCGCAGCCAATCACAGAGCTGCGACGCTCCTGCTCCGTCTTTCAGGCCGTAGGAGAGCAAGAAAGGACGAGTTATGATGATGTCATCAACAAAAGCAGTGAAGGTAAGTTACTGAAAAAAAATTATATTTTCTCCTAATAAACCAGAAATGTTTTTTTCTAAGAATTATGAATTTTTGAAATGTTGAGATTAATAATGAAGAATAAGCTAATAAAAATTAGTGATCAATGTCATGAGCCTGAGTCTGGGGGAAGAGTCGGTGAGGAGTGATGTCACTTCCTGAGTTAAAGATGTTAATTGTCGACTTGATTGCTGTAATTTTCTCTCTCTCTCTCCCCCTCTTTCTCTCTCTCTCTGGCTCTCTTTCTCTCTCTCTTCCTCTCTCTCATTTTCTCTCTCCCCCTCTTTTGCTTTCCCTCTCTTTCTCTCTCTCTCTCTCTTTTCCTCTTTCTCTCACTCCCTGTCTTTCTCTCTCCCTCTATTTTTCTCTATCACGCTCTTTCTCTCTTTCTTTTTATCTCTTTCTCTTTCTCTCCTTCTCTGTCTCTCTCTCTTTCTCTCTTCCCCTCTTCCTCTGTTTCTCTCTCTCTCTCACTCCCTCTCTTTTCTCTCTCCCTTTCTTTCTCTCCGTCTGTCCCTCTCTCGTTCTCTCTCTCCTCTTTCTCCCTTCCTCTCTCACTCACTCCCTCTCTCTCTTTCTATCTCTCACTCTCACTCCTCCCTCTCTCTCTTTCTATCTCTCACTCTCACTCCTCCCTCTCACGCTCTCTCTCTTTCTCACGCTCTTTCTCTTTCTCTCTCTCCTCTTCCTCCCTTTTTCTCTCTCTTTCTCTCTCTCACTCACTCCCTCTCTCTCTTTCTATCGCTCACTCCCTCTCTCTCTCTTTCTCTCTCACTCCCTCTCTCTCTTTCTCTCTTTGTCCGTCTCTCTGTCCGTCTCTCTCTCGCTTTCTCTCTCACTAACTCCCTCTCTCTTTCTATCTCTCACTCCCTCTCTTCCTCTCTCTCCCTCACTCCCCCTCTCTCTCCCTCTCTTTTTCTCTCTCTCCCCTTCCTTTCTCTCTCTCCCTCTCTCCTCTCTCTCCCCTTCTCTCTCTGTTTGTTTCCAGATCTCAGGTCCAGATCCTCAGCGCTCTCACCTTTACCTTCCCCCTCCGTCCCCTCTGAGCACATCCTCCTCACCTCCACTCCCAGCTTTGAGCAGCCACCCTCAGGCTCACCTCCTTCCTCCTCCAACTCAATGTGCTTCACCCCGTCCAACACCTCCTCCTTCAGATCAGAGAAGGGAGATGTCGCCGTGGTAACCTCCGCCCCTTATGAACCGCTGTTTGATCTGGCGCTGCCTCAGGCCGCTCTGCTCTTCATCCGAAAAAGGACACAGGTTAACGAAACTAATTTAAGCAGAAAAAAAAATGCTTAAGTAATTTAGTCCAGCGCTCCCCCTGCTGGTAAAAGGTAGATTTAGAAATGCATTTTATTTATTTATTTTAAATAATATAACCACATATCCCAGAGTTCCTCATCTTTCCTGGTGTAACAGCAAATTGAAAGGCATAAAATATTATTCATTTTCTGTCCTCGTCTTCCGTTATGTGCAGGAGTTGATGGAGAAAATGACAGGGCAGGAGGAGAAAGAAGCTACGGAGGTGGAGGGCGAGGACCGGGAGCTGACCCAGACCTCTCCAGACCCCTCCCCTCTGGAAGTTTTAAACCAGCTGATCACGCGTGGGTGTGAAGCTCACGAATGTCTCAGCAGGAGGTGAAGGAGAACGTGAAGAACGCACCATTTATCTCATATTATTTTTTATGATGACATATTTATTATTTTTTATTTTCTTAAATTCTTATTATGTTTTTTTTTAAATATTATTTATATTTGTTTATTTCTTATGATTAAATGACAGTGACAATGACCGTTGTTCTGTGTGTGCAGCAGGTTGTCGTCCTCAAATAAGTCTGTGGATCGCAGTCATTTTGGAGGTAAACAGCAGAGCATGAAAACCAAAGGTACCTGAACTAACACTCTGGTCTAACTTTACTGATCAACGTCACCGACCGAAGGTTAATAATTATACGGCGGTTCTATTTTTTAACCAGAGAGGGCGGAAGAACGCAGAGTAAAGTTGTTGAACTGTGTTGCTTTACTAAACAGCATGTTACCGTGGAAACGTCGTCTTTAAACTGAATGGTGTGAAACATTTTGATTTTTTTTTAACTTGACTAGCGAATGATGATTTAAATGAAAACTCAAACTTGACTTTTTTTTCTCACTAAAGTTGATGCTAAGATGCTAACCCATGCATGGGCAAACTACGGCCGCTTCAGCTTCCAAATTAGAATTTATTTATTTATATTATCATTATACTACTGCCTTTTCCCATGCAATACCTATGTTTCCCCACTAGGTGGTGTAGAAAGTGCTAAAATCATTTGATTCAAGATTCAAGATTCAAAGCGTTTATTGTCATGTGTACAGTGAGGAAAGCAGGTTTCCCTGTACAATGAAAAACTTACTTTGCTGTCCACATGGAATGTCATGAAGTAAGATAAGGATTTGAGTCATTTATCTTAGTTTACACCAACGCTCCATCCATCTGCTCCTGACCCCGCCCCCCTCCCACGTTCACTTTTTAGGACAATTGTGGCCCCCGCGAGACAAAAAGTTAGCCCACGCCTGTGCTAACCTTAACCTGTGGCTGCGGTGGTTGTTGTTGTTGTCCGGGTGCGATTTGTAATTTGATTGAAGTTGAACAGTTTTGACTTTGGCTCGTGCGTTTGTGTGTGCGTGTTCGTGACATCAGGTTCGGCAGTGGGGGACGAGCTCCAGTCTGTGAAGAGTCAGCTGCTGCTGATCCACGGTCAGCTCGAGTACGAGCGTTTCAAGCGGCAGCAGCACGCCATGAGGAACCGTCGGCTGCTGCGGAGAGTGATCAACACCACTGCGCTGGAGGAGCAGAGTGTTGCCATGGTAACGTCACACACGTTACGTGTGTGTTGCATCAAAAATATATAATATATATAATATATATTTGTACATGACGATATATTTCCTATATATTTGGTGTTAATATAGATCATCATGGTATATATATATATATATATATATACCATGATGATCTATATTAACACCAAATATATAGGAAATATATCGTCATGTACAAATATATATTATATATATTATATATTTTTGATGCAACACACACGTAACGTGTGTGACGTTACCATGGCAACACTCTGCTCCTCCAGCGCAGTGGTGTTGATCACTCTCCGCAGCAGCCGACGGATCCTC